GTAGTTTTGCGCGAAATTCAAAACAAACAAACAAGTAACTACTGTATTGATGTGGAGTTTCAACTAGAAAGTAACTGCTACGTCCTCTCTTATCAAAATCGCCCCACCCTCCAGTGGACAGCGGTATGTCTACGGACTTACAACGCTAGATATCCGTGGTGGGCAGAGCACAGATAGCCCATTGTGTAGCTTTGTACTTAACTTCAAACAAACAAACAAACTAATCAAAATCATTTGTGTAGTATCTTATGGAACTCCCAGAATATATCATATCAGGTTACAACCCCTAAAGGTTATATCTTATCTTCACATTAATATACAAGTGACAAATACATTTGTTTCCACACTTGCATTTTTCGAAGTACAGCGTTTCAAGCGGCAGAGTTCCACGTCAATTAAGCTAATTGTGTGTATTTTAAACTTTGCTAGAAATTCGCATGAATTTTATATTTTTCAAGTATCTTAACTGTCCTAAATTTATTCAGGAATCTCAAGTTAGTTGAAACGCACTATTTTTAGTTATCACTAATAACTGATTATTGTAAAATACAATCACGTTTTAAGTACTCGTTTCATGTTCACATCAATCTACAGATAAAATTTACTTAAATTTACTTCACATAGCTTATCACTTTTATTAGGTCAAGGATAAATCATTGGAAGGAAATAATTAAATGTAGTACATTTTGGCAGGTCTTTTTTTTACAACTACTAAGTTTTCGTAACAATGTTTTACACTACCTAATATTTATATAATATATTTTATAAATTATATTGAAGCTTCTTTACGATATCATTAGAAATTATTTCAATTAAATTTTTAGACATAATTGTTGTTATTGTTGCTGTATTTTGGGAAAACTACGCAATGAGCTATTTGTAATCTGTTCACCGCGGAGAAAAGAACCCCAGATTCTATTGTTCCACAAACATACTGCTAACCCCACCCACTCCCAGTGACTCAACGGTAAGTCTGAAGGATTATAACGCTGAAAATCTAACATATATACTGATGGTGGACACAGCCCTGTGCGTAGCTTTGTGTTAGACAAGAAACAAACAAACTGACCCAACGGGGGAATTAGATATCATAAACCTAGTCTATTCATATGCGTAAGTCATATTAATAGCATACGGGTAAAACAAGACATCTGCAAAACCTTTGGATTAGTTCGTTTAGCTGAATAATACGTTTTCTTAACCACTGGTAGTGGCACTGTAGCTACTGCATCGAGAGTCGGCAAGAGAAGCGCGCTTCATTAGGTTTAGAAGTCTCTTGGGCACTCTAACAGCTTTTCTATGTAATTGGAGTGAACTGTGTAAAGTGATCCGAATGTAACTACTAGATTAAGAATATCGTTCTTCGTACTTTTATCACCTTCAAACAGATATTTTACTCTCTTATTCATTACAATAGTATAAAGTTTACATCAAACTGAAGGACTAGGTAGATGTACAAATTTCAATATAAAGCCGTGAAATACAGCGATATATATTTCATTACATTATCGATTATCACGTATATGTTTTCATCACACATCTTGTTTGTTTCCCAACCTTATCATTAATGTAGTATAAATTGTTTTCAAAACTCATAAAGATGGCTCTATGAGAGACCACAGAAAGAGCTTCTGTTTAACTTGTGTAGAAGGAGCTTCTGTTTAACTTGTGCTAAAAAACGAACGATATTAAAGTTACAAGAAATTAATGAAATTATTTATATTTCTCAGCAGTTTAGAAGAATGTTAGGTTAAATTAGACAGTAAGGATATCAATTCTATTTACACTTTTTTTTTTATTAAAATATTACCACTCATTCAGATTTGGTCCTCAGGTGTTGGAGCGTAACAGATTTACACACTTTAAATCCTCTGTACTTCATAAAACTTAGAAAAATGTATTTAAAAATAAATAATTGCAATGTACTTTGATAATCGGGTGAATCTTTTACCAACGAATAATGGAATTGACCGTCATATTATAATACCCCCACGGGTGAAAGTATGTTTGGTGGGATAAGGATTCGAACCCGCGACCCGCAAGTTGCGTGTCGAACATGCTAACAACATGGCCATGCTAAGCGGTATCACACCCTATCTGTCAATAGAGATAGATTAGTATTACAACGTATTTGTCAATAAAGAGGGACTAGTATTACAATACGTTTGTCAATAGAGAGTGACTAGTATCACAACGTAATTTATTTACTGAAATGTTCCTGTCCTGCTCACATGAATTAACTGATTACTTAAACATTTCGTCTAAAATAAACCAATATTATAAATACAATTTTTCTAAAACTGAGAATAAAAATATATGAATTCATTACTTATATTTTCAATTGGTAAACATCATGTCTTCAAGCCTCCAACATAAGTGTTTAATTATCAAACAGATTGCTTTTCTGGCTATAGCAACAGAGAAAAAGAAAACGAACCTGTATTCATTCATGTGGTCAAAATTTATATGATTCTTCGTGTAAATGGAAAACTACAATAATTGCCAGATGGAG